GACTGGTCCCGGGGGCCCTCTCCATCCCCCTGGTCCCAGGAATGAGACCTCCATGAACCACCCAGTAGCTTCCTCTTGCTGTGCCATCCCCAAGCCTCCCAGCCATGGAGCATCCCCTGCCCCCTAAATTGGAGGACTGGTTGCTCTCCCCTGCCCTGGGAGGTTTATTCCTATCCCCAACCCATTTTCAAAGCTGTCTGTGTCTCCACAGGAGACATTTCACCACATTTGCCCCGTTTCAAAGCGTTTCCCACTCTTAGACCCTCTCTCTCCTCTTGCAGCGCCCCTGTTAGTGGTCCTGGGGTCAAGGCGAGAAGCTTCTCGGATGTTTGCAGCCCTGGGGGAGCCGGGTTTATCTGCAGGAGCTGTGTCTGGCAGCGGCCCATGGCCCTGCTGGATGTGGGGTTGTGCGGGACTCGCACTGTTGTTTACTAAGATGCTTCATGGCCTGCGACGCCCGGCGCCCGGCGAGGGAGCACGGCCGTGGGCAGGGGACTGGTTTTCTTGTTGCAAATCACCGCAGTGCACTGGGGCCCTGCTGCAGCTGGAAGGTCATGGAGGAGGGACATGGAAAGCATCAAACATTGAGGGTTTGGGGGGCCCTGGCTGATTTTTAGGTCTGGGAGGGGGTCATGGCCATGGGGTCTGGTGATGGAGGATCCAGAAGGGACCCCCGAGGTGCCGGGAGCGCCAGGTGCCCATGGGTGCAGGGCTCAGCTGAGCGCTTTCCGTCCTGTCCGCTCCAGCGCAACAGCAGTCCCGTGCGGGGAGGCTGCTGCTGCTGCGAGGCCGGATGGCAGCGCCTTGGGTACCTGAGCGGGGCTCCGAGTTGCCCCAGCTCCACGCTTGGGTTTCGAGGGATTCCTGACCTTTAGGAGGAACGGACATGTCCTTCCCACAGGGACCGGGGCAGGGAAGGAAACGGGACCATGGAGCATTTCCTAGGAAGGGCCAGAAATAGTCAGGGGGAACTTTTGAACCCAGCCTTCACTCTCTTTGTTTGCGTGTGTATATCTCTCTCAATTTCTCTGTCTCTCTCCCTCTTTCTCTCTCCTTTTTCTCACCTTCTCCTTCCTCTCGCCTGTCTGCCCGCAGCCGTCCCAGGGGGAGAGCATCACGAAGCAGGTAGACACCCTGGTAAGTGTTACGCCCTGGGCCTTTGACGGGAAACTGTGGAGGCTGGTCTCAACGTTGAGATGTTATCGGGGTTCCTTCATGCCTATTTCATTGCCACAAGCCCCCAAGGGACACCTGCAGCCGAAATCCCTCCATCTGCCCCTATGGAGACCCTTGTGGCCCCCCAACCCTGCTGAGACCCCCCCAGACCCTCTGCCCTCCCAACATATGACCCTGCTTTTGGTGAGGACTGAGCTGAAGGCTGAGAGAATTGCCCAGGGTCACCAAAAGAGGCAGTGTCGGAGCTGAATGGGGGCCCTAGAGGAGGTTGGGGCTTTTGCCGCAAAGCCGGCTTTCCTGTCCAAGAGCTGGGGAGATGTTATTTAATCCGAGGACATGAAGTTGCTAAGACAGTGTAGACAAACGCCCTGCCAAAGTCAACGCAGACAGCTTCCCCCTGCCCTGCAGCCAGTTCGCCGTGCCTCCATGCACACCAGAGCTGGGACCAGAGGGATGGAGCAGATCCCCAGCCAGGATGCAGGGAGAGTGGTTCCTGCAAGGAAGAGCTGCTGAGAGCTTTCCTCACCTAGGGACCAGCTTCGCTCCTTCCCTTTGGCAGTCCAGGCATGTTTCCAGCCCTTTCCAAGCTGGAGGAAGAGCACTCAGAGCTCGAAAAACTCAGTATCAGGGGTATCAGGGACCCTTTTTGCTCCCTTTGCTCTCTTTTTGGGAGGTTTCTGACATTTCTCCATCCTTTCTTGTGGCTAAGATCACCCCTTCTGGAAGCTGGAGCCAGAAGGGATCTGTGGTTTTTGGATGGTTGCCTAGAGCCTGGGGACACAGTCGGGGGGGGGGGGGCCCCAGGGGGGGGGGGGGGGGGGGGGGGGGGGGACACCCGTGGCTGATGGCACTGGAGGGATCTTTCCCTCAAAGTCACTGGCACTGGTCAAAACTGAGGCTGGGACCAGTCTGATCCAACTTTCCCTGTGCCAGACCAGACTGGGGACACACTGGTTTGAGAGGGACCATGTGTCCTAGGGTGTCTGCTCCAGAGGGGACCTTTGCAGCATCCCTTAGCCCAGCGGCTGGCAGGAGTGTTTAATAACACGGGTACTTATTCCTATCAGCTGATCGCTGGCTGACTCTTCCTCGTGCAGGGGCTGGCTGGCGGGGACGGGAGCGCGGCTGTGGTTAGAGGGGGGAGGGAGCAGGGCCGGCCCGTGCGCCCGCATGGCTGAGCCTGGGGGCTCCTGCTGGGACGGGGGGCG